CTCACTGCAAGCTCCACCTCCCGGGTTCACGCCATTCTCCTGCCTCAGCCTCCCTAGTAGCTGGGACTACAGGCACCTGCTACCACGCCCGGCTAGTTTTTTGTATTTTTAGTACAGACAGGGTTTCACCGTGTTAGCCAGGCTGGTCTCGATCCCCTGACCTCATGATCCGCCCGCCTCAGCCTCCTAAAGCGCTGGGATTACAGGCGTGAGCCACCGCGCCCGACCCAGAGAATCACCTTTGTCAAGATCAGCCTGGGCTACACTGTCAAGATGCTGTCTCAAACAAACAAAAAAATTTTTAAGTAAAGAGTTGGAAGAGAAAGTGGGGAATCACCTCAGAAAGTAGAGTAAAAAGGGCTATACAACTGAAACAGAAAATACAAAAATTATAGGATCAAATTAGAAAGTCCAACATCCAAAATTTTTTAAAAACACAGAAAAGGCAAACAAAACAGAATGGAGGAAATTTTCAAAGGAATAATTCAAAAACTTTCTCTCTGACCTAAACTCACATTCCGAAACGTGAGCTAACAAATCAAAAGGATCACTGTGTACCTAGTACAATGTGTAAAAGAAAGCACACCATCGTGAATATCAGAATAACCAGGTTAAAGACAAAAATACTAAATCCAGAGAGAACTACCACACACAAACGATTAAAAAGAAATCAGAATAGGCCAGGTGCAGTGGCTCATGCCTGTAATTCCAAAACTGTGGGAGGCTGAGGCGGGTGGATCACTTGTGTTCAGGAGTTCAAAACCAGCCTGGCCAACATGGTGAAACCCCATCTCTACCAAAAATACAAATTAGCCAGGCATGGTGGCACACGCCTGTAATCTCAGCTACTCGAGAGGGTGAGGCAAGAGAATCACTTGAACCCAGGAGGCAGAGTTTACAGTGAGCCAAGATCATGCCATTGCACTTCAGCCTGGGTGACAGAGAAAGACCCTGTCTCAAAAAAAAAAAAAAAGAAAAAGAAAAAGAAATCAGAATTGCAGCCGGGTGCAGTGACTCACGTCTGTATCCCAACACTTTTAGGAGGCCAAAGCAGGTGGATTACCTGAGGCCAGGAGTTTGAGACCACCCTGGCCAATATGGCGAAACCCCCATCTCTACTAAAAATACAAAACTGGCCGGGCGCGGTGGCTCATGCCTGTAATCCCAGCACTTTGGAGGCCGAGGTGGGTGGATCACGAGGTCAGGGGTTCGAGACCAGCCTGACCAACATGGTGAAACCCCATCTCTACTAAAAATACAAAAATTAGCTGGGTGTGGTGGCGGGTGCCTGTAATCCCAGCTACTCAGGAGGCTGAGGCAGGAGAATTGCTTGAACCTGGGAGGTGGAGGTTGCAGTGAGCCGAGATTGCACCACTGTACTCCAGCCTGGGCAAAAGAGCGGGACTCCATCTAAAAAAAAAAAAACAAAACAAAACTGAGCTAGGCGTAGTGGCACACGCGTGTAGTTGCAGCTACTAGGGAGGCTGAGGCAGGAAAATCTCTTGAACCCGGGACACAGAGGTTGTAGGGAGCAGAGATCGCACCACTGCACTCCAGCCTGGGTGACAGAGTGAGACTCCATCTCAAAAAAAAAAAAAAAAAAAGAAAGTAGAACTGCTTTGGACTTGCTAACAGTAACACTAACAGCTAAAAGGCAGTAGAGAAATACCTTCAAATTCTGAAAGAAAATGATTTCCAACCAAGAATTCTATGTATTCTGTCAAACAATCAAGTAAGATAGCAATCCCATTTTATTAACCATGCAAACCCTAATTTATTTCTCATGTGCCTTTTCCTATGAAGCTGCCAGAAGATGTGCCTTCTTAAATATAAAGAAACAGGGGAGTAGGGGGCTAAAAAACAGGGAATCCAATATAAGCAAGAAGAAAATGCCAAGATAATGGTGAAGGGATGTTCCACTATCTATATAGCAAACCTAAAGAGCAAACAGTCCAGATGGGAGCAAGCAGATGGTACCCAGAAGAAGGTCCCTGGTTTAAAAAGGAAAGGAAGGGGGAGGAGAGTAAGACAAGGGAAAGTAAAAGAGGAGAGAGGAAAGAGGGAGGAGGAAGGGGTAAGGAACAAGAGAGAAGAATAAAATCAAAGAGCGGAAAAAGAGGAGAGGGAAAGAAGAGGAAGAAGAAAATAAACAGGAAAGATGATGAAAGGAAGGAAAGGAAAAGTGAATCTATAAACTACCTAATACAATAACCACGCAGATTATTTAAGCAAGCAATGAGAGAGGCCAGACGTGGTGGCTCACACCTGTAATCCTAGCACTTTAGGAGGCCGAGGCAGGTGGATCACCTAAGGTCAGGAGTTTGACACCAGCCTGGCCAACATGGTGAAACTCCCTCTCTACTAAAAATACAAAAACTAGCCGGACGTGTTGGCGCCTGTAATCCTTGGTACTCAGGAGGCTGAGGCAGAATTGCTTGAACCCAGCAGGTGGAGGTTGCAGTGAGCTGAGATTACCTCCACTATACTCCAGTCTGGGTGACAAGAGCAAAACTCCATCTCAAACAAACAAAAAAAAAGCAGTGAGAAGATATACAAAGATTTAGTCTTATAGCCTTAAGGAAAAAAAAAAAAACACATGAGGAAAGTTGAAATACAGGACAAAAATTAATTACAGAGAAAAAAAGAAAAATTAACACCAGAAAGTAATAACACTGCTGTATACTTTTGTCTTCGAAATTAGCAAAAACCAGGAATGGTAGCTCATGCCCGTAGTCCCAGTACTTTGGGAGGCCAAGACTGGAGGATCCCTTGAACCCAGGAGATCAAGACCAGCCTAGCAACATAGTGAGACCCCATCTATACAAAAAATTTAGAAATTAGGCATGGTGGTGTGTACCTGTAGTCCCAGCTACCTGGGAGGTTGAGGTGGGAGGATGACCTGAGGTCAGGAGTTCGAGACCAGCCTGGCCAACATGGTGAAACCCCGTCTCTACTAAAAATACAAAAATTGCCCAGGCATGGTGGTGCGTGCCTGTAATCCCACCTACTTGGGAGGCTGAGGCAGGAGAATCGCTTGAACCCGGGAAGCAGAGGTTG